GACATACTTGAAGTGATGAAAGAGAATAACCTACAGCCCAGATTACTGTACCCAGAAAGGATCTCATTCAAACATGAAGGAGAAATCAAAAGCTTTACAGACAAGCATGAGCTGAGAGAATTCAGCACCACCAAACCAGCTCTCCAACAAATGCTAAAGGATCTTCTCTAGACAGGAAATACAGAAATGGTGTATAAGCTTGAACCCAAAGCAACAAAGTAAATGGCAACAGGATCATACTTATCAATAATTACCTTAAATGTAAATGGGTTGAATGCCTCAACCAAAAGACAAAGACTGGCTGAATGGATATAAAAACAAGGCCCCTATATATGTTGTCTACAAGAGATCCACCTAGAAACAAGACTGAAGTGAAGAACTGGACAAAGATATTCCATGCAAATAGAAACCAAAAGAAAGCAGGAGTAGCAGTACTCATATCAGATAAAATAGACTTTAAAACAAAGGCCGTGAAAAGAGACAAAGAAGGACACTACATAACGATCAAAGGATCAATCCAAGAAGAAGATATAACAATTATAAGTATATATGCACCCAACATAGGAGCACTGCAATATGTAAGACAAATGCTAACAAGTATGAAAGGGGAAGTTAATAATAACACAATAACAGTGGGAAACTTTAATACCCCACTCACGCCTATGGATAGATAAACTAAACAGAAAATTAACAAGGAAACACAAACTTTATATGATACAATAGACCAGCTAGACCTAATTGATATCTATAGGACATTTCACCCCAAAACAATGAATCTCACCTTTTTCTCAAATGCACATGGAACCTTCTCCAGGATAGATCACATCCTGGGCCATAAATCTAGGTTTGGTAAATTTAAAAAACTGAAATCATTCCAAGCATCTTTTCTGACTACAATGCAGTAAGATTAGATGTCAATTACAGGAGAAAAACTATTAAAAATTCCACATATGGAGGCTGAACCGCACACTGCTGTATAACCAACAAATCACAGAAGAAATCAAAAAGAAATCAAAATATGCATAGAAATGAATGAAAATGAAAACACAACAACCCCAAAACTATGGAACACTGTAAAAGCAGTGCTAAGGGGAAGGTTCATAGCAATACAGGCTTACCTCAAGAAACAAGAAAAAAGTCAAATAAATAACCTAACTCTACACCTAAAGCAACTAGAAAAGGAAGAAATGAAGAACCCCAGGGTTAGTAGAAGGAAAGAAATCTTAAAAAATTAGAGCAGAAATAAATGCAAAAGAAACAAAAAGAGGCCATAGCAAAAATCAGCAAAGCCAAAAGCTGGTTCTTTGAGAAGTTAAATAAAATTGTCAAACCATTAGCCAGACTCACCAAGAAACAAAGGGAGAAAAATCAAATCAACAAAATTAGACATGAAAATGGAGAGATCACAACAGACAACACAGAAATACAAAGGATCATAAGAGACTATTATCAGCAACTACATGCCAATAAAATGGACAACTTGGAAGAAATGGACAAATTCTTAGAAAAGTACAACTTTCCAAAGCTGAACCAGGAAGAAATGGAAAATCTTAACAGACCTATCACAAGCATGGAAATTGAAGCTGTAATCAGAAATCTTCCAGAAAACAAAAGCCCAGGACCAGATGGCTTCACAGCTGAATTCTACCAAAAAATTAGATAGAGAGAGCTAACACCTATCCTCTCAAACTCTTTCAGAAAATTGCAGATCATTCATCATGACCAAGTGGGCTTGATCCCAGGGATGCAAGGATTCTTCAATATCTGCAAATCAATCAATGTAATACACCACATTAACAAATTGAAAAATAAAAACCATATGATTATCTCAATAGATGCAGAGAAAGCCTTTGACAAAATTCAACATTCATTTATGATTGAAACCCTCCAGAAAACAGGAAGAGAAGGAACATACCTCAACATAATAAAAAACAAACCTACAGCAAACATTATCCTCAGTGGTGAAAAATTGAAAGCATTTCCTCTAAAGTCAGGAACAAGACAAGGGTGCCCACTCTCATACTACTATTCAACATAGTTTTGGAAGTTTTGGCCACAGCAATCAGAGCAGAAAAAGAAATAAAAGGAATCCAGATTGGAAAAGAAGTAAAACTCTCACTGTTTGCAGATGACATGATCCTCTACATAGAAAACCCTAAAGACTCCACCAGAAAATTACTAGAGCTAATTAATGAATATGGTAAAGTTGCAGGATATAAAATCAACACACAGAAATTCCCTGCATTCCAATACACTAACAATGAGAAAACAGAAAGAGAAATTAAGGAAGCAATTCCATTCACCATTGCAGCAAAAAGAATAAAATACTTAGGAATATATCTACCTAAAGAAACAAAAGACCTATACATAGAAAACTATAAAACACCGATGAAAGAAATCAAAGAGGACACAAACAGATGGAGAAATATACCGTGTTCATGGATCAGAAGAATCAATATAGTGAAAATGAGTATACTGCCCAAAGCAATCTATAGATTCAATGCAATCCCTATCAAGCTACCAATGGTATTTTTCACAGAACTAGAACAAATAATTTCACAATTTGTATGGAAATAGAAAAAACCTCGAATAGCCAAAGCAATCTTGAGAAAGAAGAATGGAACTGGAGGAATCAACCTGCCTGACTTCAGGCTCTACTACAAAGCCACAGTCATCAAGACAGTATGGTACTGGCACAAAGACAGAAATATAGATCAATGGAACAAAATAGAAAGCCCAGAGATAAATCCATGTACCTGTGGACACCTTATCTTTGACAAAGGAGGCAAGAATATACAATGGAGAAAAGACAATCTTTTTAACAAGTGGTGCTGGGAAAACTGGTCAACGACTTGTAAAAGAATGAAACTAGAACACTTTCTAACACCATACACAAAAATAAACTCAAAATGGATTAAAGATCTAAGCATAAGGCCAGAAACTATAAAACTCCTAGAGGAAAACTTAGGCAAAACACTCTCCAACATAAATCACAGCAGGATCCTCTATGACCGACCTCCCAGAATATTGGAAATAAAAGCAAAAATAAACAAATGGGACCTAATTAAAAGTAAAAGCTTTTGCACAACAAAGGAAACTATAAGCAAGGTGAAAAGACAGCCTTCAGAATGGGAGAAAATAATCGCAAACAAAGCAACTGACAAAAAATTACCCTCAAAAATATACAAGCAACTCCTGCAGCTCAATTCCAGAAAAATAAATGACCCAAGAAAAAAACGGGCCAAAGAACTAAACAGACATTTCTCCAAAAAGATATACAGATGGCTAACAAACACATGAAAAGATGCTCAACATCACTCATTATCAGAGAAATGCAAATCAAAACCACAATGAGGTACCATTTCACGCCAGTCAGAATGGCTGCTATCCAAAAGTCTACAAGGAATAAATGCTGGAGAGGGTGTGGAGAAAAGGGAACCCTCTTACACTATTGGTGGGAATGCAAACTAGTACAGCCACTATGGAGAACAATGTGGAGATTCCTTAAAAAACTGGAAATAGAACTGCCATGTGACCCAGCAATACCACTGCTAGGCATACACACTGAGGAAACCAGAATTGAAAGAGACACGTGTACCCCGATGTTCATAGCAGCACTGTTTATAATAGCCAGGACATGGAAGCAACCTAGATGTCCATTAGCAATCAAATGAATAAGAAAGCTGTGGTACATATACACAATGGAATATTACTCAACCATTAAAAACAATGCATTTGAATCAGTTCTAATGAGGTGGATGAAACTGGAGCCTATTATATAGTGAAGTAAGCCAGAAAGATAAAGACCAATACAGTATACTAACACATATATATGGAATTTAGAAAGATGGCAACAATAACCCTGTATGTGAGACAGCAGAAGAGACACAGATGTATAGAACAGTCTTTTGGACTCTGTGGGAGAGGGCACGTGTGGGATGGTTTGGGGGAATGGCATTGAAACATGTGTATTATCATATTTGAAATGGATCACCAGTCCAAGTTTGATACATGATACAGAGTGCTCAGGGCTGGTGCACTGGGATGACCCATCGGGATGGGGTGGGGAGGGATGTGGGAGGGGGATTCAGGATGGGGAACACATGTACATCTGTGGTGGATTTATTTCAATGTATGACAAAACCAATACAATATTGTAAAGTAATTAGCCTAAAAAAAAAAAAACAACAGCAGGAGGCCTCAGCTGTGAAGATGGACCTGGAACTATATTCAATATCCTGTGATAAACCATAATGGAAAAGAATGTGAACATTTATATATGGTATATATGAATCATATATACATGTTATACATGGTTCAGCTATATATGAATCACTTTGCTCTATAGTAAAAATTAACACAACATTAAAACATACCTCAATAAAATAAGTTAAAAAGATAAAGACAATTGCTTTGCACAGTGTTTCAAAGTACAGTAATAGTACCTATATCAGAACTACCCTAGGTGCCTTATAAAAATTCATATTACATTTTTTTTAACCACAAACTAACTACTTCTAAAAAGGGACATGAGATACCATACTATGGAAGAATGATATACTGTGGAGCATAAAATAACAAAGGAAATAGTTGTAAACTAGAAAGAACATTATTTATCTATCACATGTACCTTAAAACTTATACTAAAGGTATTTGCTATAACTGAACAAATATTTCCCTCTGAGCTTCCTGGCATACAAACACAAAAATGAATCACCATGTATTGCATGATTTTTGTTACCTAAAAAAATGATGTATAAGAGAGAGAAATTTCCTATTACTAAGGAATTAATTGAATTTATTTATTATAGGGAGTGAAATCTTAGTTATTAATAACTTAGTAGTGGTTTAACAAAGATGCTCAAATATTTTCACATGGTTTGTGAAACAGGTTGCAATACTTTAAAATGCTGGAAATATATTTCTATATTTTTCTTAACATAATTCCTGTATATCATTTCCTTGTTTGAAATGTAATGAGTATTGTCCTCTGTTTTTAGGGTGATCCAGGAATCATGGGCCCTGTTGGGATGCCTGGAATATCAATTCCTGGACCACCTGGACCAAAAGTATGCATTCTTGGGAATATTTTTTTCTTGGATTTTTTGGAAGTTGGAATGGGGAAAAGATTCATAAAACCAGTGAAAGAATTTTAGCTTTGGAAAAACCCAAAGATATTATATAGCTCAAACCTGACATTTCATGATTAAGCAGATGGAGGGCCAGCAGCAAATTTAAGGTTAGAAACCAGGTTTTCTGCTCCTGGTCTTGACCTTATCACTCTACTTTGAACTACCTCCCTTACATGCTAGCCTTAATGCATGTAAGATTTTATTGCATTTGTTCAGAATAATCTGCTAATCAGAAAGTCTGGCAGAAAAGAAATCCACTCAGATGTAAGAGCATTCCCAGACATTTTCACAGTCTAAATATTTGTGTCTAGAGAGCCACCTATTATTTCAGCTATTCTCCGAAAAGCTTAGTAGTCTTTACTGACAGTTTTTATTTGCTTAAGATTTGAAACTCTTCTCAAATATATTAGAAGGATGTACTCTCTCAGGTTCTGATTCTAAGAGATTAAGCTCTTCATAATTGGCCAATGGCTTTTTATGCTCTGTGCCATGATGGTTTCTCATAAAATCTAAAGCCTGAAACTGTGAAAATTATTTGACATGTGCAGGGAGACAGAGGTGGACCTGGGATGCCTGGATTTAAAGGAGAACCTGGAATTGCTATTCGAGGACCAAAGGTATCCTTTGTTCATGTTCTTTTATTTATTGAAATAAAAAATGAAAGTAGATTTAATGCATCATAAGTTATGACTGAGATTGCTCTACTTAGAGTCTCTACACTGATGAACTGAGATATAAGAATATACTATTCCCCTTTTAAAAAATCAAGCCAGCAGATCATTTATTTTTCATAAATGTGAAGGATGATAGCTCCTCTGGTAAAATGTTTGCTGACTAAACAGCTGATTGAAAATGCTCTTTTTCTTTCTGTAATGTCTATAATATGATATTATATGGCCTCTGGCCTCCTTCATTTACATATTAATGGCCAATGCATCTCTTCTGCAAAACACTGTCCAAAGAGTTCATGTTTAGAAACTTTATTGAATTAGATTTCCCTGCTTGTTGTCCATCTTTCAGAGTTATTATAAGTGAAAATGCAAATAACGACAGGAGAAGACAGTTTTAAGAAATCATCACTATTTTTTCCATGGCAACAAAGTACCATTTCTCTCCTCACATAAAATCTAGGCTTACAGAGAAATTCTACTTTCCAAATGTCAACAAGCACATTCCTGTTTATGAGAACAGGCTTTGGGGCTCCATAATCAGCACTCGTTAAATTAGTAGCATGTTGTTGTGTAGCTTTGAAGCTGGCTTCAGTTTATCAAATTGTCTGTTCTCAATGAAAGGGTTCAAGTACTGACACTAGTGATTTTCAAACTTCAAAAAAGAAAACTTAGAACCATCTTTGCATATAATTCAAAGATGGTTTGAATTATATTATATACTATTATGTATATATACTATTATATACTATATATACTATTATATACTAACATAAGTTGTAGATTCTTCTTAAAGCAAGAGGTAGGATCCTGACCTCTACTATTCTTAATCACTTTGAGAGTTGTCCTTGCTAGAGTGCTGATCTTCTGGAGACATTTCTGGGATATTTTCAAGCTAAAACAGAGAATGTCCTGGGAAAATCATAACAAGATGGTCACCCTACTGCCCAGACTCTGAGGCACATAGGAACCCAAGCTATATAAGACTCTACAGAAACCCAAGTTATGTATGACTCAAGGAGAAAATTCCAAATTTCCGAATGCTAAAACTACAGGCATGGCCTCAGTCAAGAATATTTGAGTGACAATTTTCATATTATTTGATAGCTTCCTGAATCTATGCATCCCTAGGTCCATGATGCAAGGTTATTTCTCTCTACTTACACTGTTCTTTCCAAGAGAAGCAACATCTAAATGTATAGTTGATGTTTATAAGCTCTGACTATTTTCTACTGATCATTATTGGTGATGGTATTAGGAGTTATTTGCCTTTTCACTCCAGTCATTTTTACTTTGTTCTACCATTCTTCCCTAATGGATTGTGTTTAAGTTCATGGAGGGTTAGCTGATAAAAATTTTGGCACATCATTTCAGTTTTATGTACTTCTTCAGGGACCTCCCAGATTTTAAAAAAAGCTCATTTTGAAACACCTGATTAAGATTTCTACCCTAATTTCTGTTGAATGAGAGAGACACTTCAAAGAGAATCACTCTGCAAAACATTTTCTTGAATCCAGTGCAGAAAAGCCAAGTGGCAAAATTCCATCCCTGAAACTATCAGGAGGCATCCAAAATAAAAATCTGAGCAAGAACACTGCCCTTTCCCTACCCCCTGATAGCATCAGAAGTAACATGTTAACTGAAATTTCTGCAGGAGACAGGACACAGATCTCTAGGAAAATAATGTTTCTAAACCATGGATGTTTCAATGGTTTTCCCTGCAGTGTGGGGGCCAGAGGATAAACAATAACAGCTGCTGATAATTTGTTACAGGCTTGGAATTTAGGAATGAAAACAGAAAGTGAATTTTGATTCCAATTTCTTTTTAAATTTTGACTTAACCAGAGGGTTGTTTTGTGGCTGGTCTGCTCCTCATGTGAGCATGCAGAGAAATGGGCATCTTATTTGGGGACCTGTCCCATAGGAAATGATTAGCACTTCAACCTTGCACATAATTCGAATAGTATAATAAACTGCTTCTCAGACATGACTAGTTCCTTATTGGGGGATCCACCAGAATTCAGTGCTCCAGAATAGTTTGTTTTTTGCTTTGTCATACATCTTTAAGAGATCATCTTGGATTTCTGTTGATGTGCATTAAGTCCATAGTGCATTCTAAACAGTGCATTAATAGTGCATTTTTATAAGTGGCCACATGTTTTCTGAAGACCATTCTTAAGATGGTTAACCTATACAAGGCCAGTCTCTTTCTCTTAAAAGGAAATGACAGCTGTTGTATTCATGATTTTCAAAATCAATTTAACTTTCTTATGGCATAAAAAATGTTTTCCCCAGTTATTTATTTATAGGAGTAAAATCAGAAACCATTTTTGAGAATTAGATTTGGGGCAACACTTTGGCTTGGAATAACGCAGCTTGATTTCAGTGTTTGCTTACATATAAGACAAATATTAAGAATCTGGCTACTTTTTCCAATCTTGGAAAACACAGGTCTATTATTAGAGTTTCCTCCTGATGTGGAAAACATAAATATTTTATTTTTATTTTTTAAAATTCTTTTTAAAAATTTATTTATTTTAATTGGAGGCTAATTACTTTACAATACTGTAATGGTTTTTGCCATACATTGACATGAATCAGCCATGGATTTACATGTGTTCTCCATCCTGATCCCCCCTCCCTCCTCCCTCCCCATCCCATCCCTCTGGGTCTTCCCAGTGCACCAGCCCTGAGCACCCATCTCATGCATCAAACCTGGACTGGCGATCTATTTCACATATGATAATATACAAAACATAAATATTTTAAATCATGAATAGCTCTTTACCAAAATAATTGATGTATATTGACAAAGGCCACTGTAAGAGTTATCACAGCAACAGAATGGGATGTGGTATGTAAGGAAATGTTTTAAATATAAGTACAATAGGCTTACGATGAATAAATCTTCTTTGGTAAGAGTCTTCTTCATTTTTCTTTCTCTCCATTTTATTCTGGCCAGAAATTTCTCTGAGTTTCATTGGCACAGAGAACTCTTGTTCGAAGGGCAATATAAACCTCCTTCCTTATTCTCTATATAAGAGGCCAGTATTGCTACTAAGTTTCTGGTGCCCAAGGTCATCATGGTAAAGCAATATCTATCACTTTTTCCTAGGTCTCAGGATATGAACCACTAACTCTGTGTCCTATTCTTTTATAAAGTGTTTTTAAAAAATTAATCTGTTTTTAATTTTTATTTGAGCTTTTATTCCTCACTTAATTTGGGCCTCACTGAGGAAGATAATAGATGTAACATAATAATAGGTAACACACACAATCTTACTTCATACTTAAAATTTTGTTCATATTCTCTATTCTTCTCACATGGTGCTTACTAAATTTTCTCATTTTATACTTCCCCTTATTTTATGATGCACTAAATTTTTGTAATTTTTAAAATTAAAATAGCAGCAACTAGCTCTTTTCTAACCCCCATGAAGTATTTCCTATGGAGGACTTTGTGGTGGTTCATATATATTCCTTATACTCGTTCCACTCATCATTTGCTTCCCATAACAGAAATGGGAAAGACTTACAAGGAGATAAGAAGTTGCCATATTTCCTTCCAAAAATTCTCAGACCATTCTTCTGCCCTTATCAAATCCGCCTTTGGTGTGCTGAGTGGGTAATGAGCTTAAGTTTTGCCAGCTGTTTCATGGTTTAGGCTCATGATATCTCCTGTGTTGGAATTCACCCAGGGTGCCCAAGGGCCTCAGGGACCAGTGGGCGCTCCAGGACTCAAAGGTGATGGCTATCCTGGTGTGCCTGTAAGTGTGGACGCTGCTGTTCTCGCCTCCCTCCCTCCCTGTCTTCCTCCTGTCTCTTTCCTTTCCTTCCTCTCGTCCCTCCCTCCTCTTCTTTTCCCCTTCCTCCCTTCCCTTCTTTTCCTTTCTCTTTTCTCCTCCCTCCCCCCCTCCTCCCCTTCCCTTCCTGAACCCTGCACATAGCAAGCTTGCTCCCTCTCCCGCGTATTATGTCATCTCAGGGCCCTCGAGGAATCCCAGGACCTCCTGGATCAAGGGGATTACCTGGAGTTGGAGACACTGGAGCAAAGGTAGGCAACAGTAGCTTTTAAAAATGTACCTGTAGTTAAGAGGTTTGGTAAAAGTGAACATCTTTACCGGACCTGAGAGAAGAGGAGAAGCATCTAAAGAACTGATCAAGTTATTTATCCTCATCTATGGACTCTCCAGAGCCTTGCACTCACTTGAACATGCAGATTAACCTTCTGTTTTTTCATTCTGTTTCCTTGCTAACAACGCTTGCATTCGTTTGCTGCTTTGTCTTCCAGTCGCAAGGACAGACTTTGGTTCAGGCCCCTGCCCTTTCTGGTCACGCTCCTGCCTAGGTGCCCTCATACCATCCCATGTCATTAACCACTGTGCACGCACTGATGGCCTCCAAGTGTCTATCTTCCCTCCTCTAAGCCCTGGTCTCACACACCTAGTTTCTTACCAGACGTCTCCTCTTAGACCTCTCACAGACATCTCTAACCTAATATCCCAAATAAAGCCTTTGATTTTCACTCCATTGGCCTGGAAGTGGTGCTACCCACGCTCCTTGCTAATGCCACAACACCTAAATCATTTTTGGTCCTCTTTCCCCTCTCTTCCCTCCACATCTAGTCCTAGTCTTGTCAGTTCTACCTTCAAAATTATATCTCGCCTCTGGCTACTTGTCTCTTGCGGCATCTCCCAAGGAGATCACCGCTATCTCTCACCTTGGCTGTTAAAACAACTTCTCCATTGGTCTTCTGTCCTCCACCTCTGCCCTTCTATTACCTCGCAGGCAAGTTGATCTTTTGAAGCCGAAAATCAGATCACACCCCTTTCCTTCCCAAGAAAACTCTGGTGGCCTCTCTTTGTAGAGAGCAAGCTGCACCCACTTTCCATGTTCTCTGGGGCCCTTTGTAACCTGGCCGCAGCTCCTGGCTCATTCTCAAGGTCTCTAGTCTGACCTCCTTCTCCACCTATACAAAAGGCAATTCTCTCCTCTCCCTCCCTCCCCCAGCACTATCATATCCCCTGGTGTATTTCCTCCATGACGTGCATAATTTCTGAAATCAACTTCCTTATTTCCTGGTCTGCATATTTCACAAGGGTGTCAATTTTCAGTTCAGTTCAGTAGCTCAGTCGTGTCTGACTCTTTGCAACCCCATTGTGTCTATTAATTCACACAGGAAGCTGAATGGAGGCGGTATCCTTCAGCTCATTTCTACTGAGGGGAGGCGGGAATGTTTGTTAGGACCTGCCTCTGTCTGCACCTCCCTCCCAGTTGCATTTTCCTTCTTCCTGTCTCCCCTTCTTGTAGAAGTTGGGGAGGTGTGTTATCCTGCCCGCCTCTAGCCCTGGAAGGAAATATCAGGAGTGCACGCTCTTCTTAGAATCAAAGAACTTGGATCATGAATTTAAAAATCAAGGACATTCCAAAAGCAAACTGAAGCTTCTAATAACTTCCAAAACCACCTCTCTTCTTTTATAGACACCTTAGAGTCTTTATGTGTCTTTTTTATTTCCTGAAGAAAACTTTTGGCTACCCACATAGCCCAACAGAAGCTGGTAAAGAAAATGAAATTTTTGGAAAACTCTAATTCCACTTAATTTTGTCCTTTTGGTTTAGTAAGGTGGAGTTGAGACTCTCAAAACACCTAAGGTTGCCAAATGGTAGAAAAAGCATAGGACTCAAATGTCTGCAAAATTCCTCTCATTCTATTTTGCCTTAAAATGGCAGAGGAATTGTGTGTGGAAACGTGTGGGTTTGTGTGCATGCACGCACATGTGTGTATAATTGTATAGACATATATACTGGATATGTTTTTTATTTAAATTCTGTGTTGTCACCTTAAAATATTGGCCTTAGGGCATTAACTTACAAAAGAAATGTGTTTTGAAATGAGGAAGCCATTAAGGTTGACGATTAATTTATGGTGGGCTTTGCGATATTTAGTTAAGGTCACATGTGTTTAGCATATGACACAGACATTAGAATCAAAGCGTCTATGTTTCAAAACATATAAAAAGCAGTCCCTGACATCTTGCAACCTTGTGGTGCTCCATGGCTTTTTTCCAAGTGAAGGAATTCCATCTGACATTAGTGGTTATAGTACTTCTCCGTACATTTCCCTTGAATGCACTCCAAATTTTGACAAGGGCTTCTGAGAGATTTCTAAAATTCTTACAAAAACTACAAGTTTCCAAGGAAATAGTAGATATGGTTTTAAAATCCACTTTGGAACATGCCATAAAGAGGACCTGACAATTGGATTTTGTCCAGTAGGAAGCGATCACCCAGTGCCCTGGTCCCTGGACCCAAACTGTCAGCTCACTGATGGGGAAGGCAAGCTCAAAGATCCTGCGTTACACTGCCTGCATTTCTTGACTGGGCCCCAAGAGACTAGGCTCCCCTTGTGGCTCAGTGGTAAAGAATTTGCCTGCCAATACAAGAGATGTGGGTTCGAACTCTGGGTCAGGAAGACCCCCTGGAGAAGGGAATGGCAACCCACTGTAGTATTCTTGCCTGGAAAATCCCATGGATGGGCTACAGTCAATGGGGTCATAAACAGTTGGACATGATTAAGCATGCACGCAGGGCTTCCCTGGTAGCTCAGCTAATAAAGAATCTGCTTGCAATACAGGAAACCCCGGTGTGATTCCTGGGTTGGGAAGATCCACTGGAGAAGGGATAGGCTACCCATTCCAGTATTCCTGGTCTTTCCTGGTGGCTCAACTGGTAAAGAATCCACCTGCAATGCTGGAGACCTGGGTTTGATCCCTGGGTTGGGAAGATTCCCTGGAGAAGGGAACGGCTACCCAGTCCAGTATTCTGGCCTGGAGAATTCCATGAACTATATAATCATGGGGTCACAAAGAGTCAGATATGACTGAGCAACTTTTCACTCAGTCCTCAAGCATGCACACAAGAGACAAAGAGGACCCTTTGTGATTTGGGGACTCTCAGTCTATAAACTGTATTATCTTTTGAGAAGCCCAGATAATTCTTTGCTTCTGCATGTTTCACCCCCGTAGGCTGGTGAATCACCCAGGGCTGAGGCTGAGGCCTCAGATGTCAATCTCTGAGGGTGCGAGTTTGTTCTTGGCCTCCTGGAAGAGCACTATAAGGAGTGGCTCTCCTGGGCTCAGAAGGGCAGGGGCATCGCATCAGGCACCTCTCAGCTCATTTGGCCCCCATCCCTGTGCCAGTTCATCACAGAGAAAGCCATGGCCTTCCCCAAAGCTTTGGGGCAGTATAACTGAGGCCAGTTCTTGCAAAAAGAACCTTTAACCTGGTTTGGGGAGTTCTTAAGGGATCTTTTAACCATCAAGTGGTTGGAATCAAGTCTGGGCAGAAAAGACTTGTTGGGTGGTTGTTGTTATATGTTATAATTGTATACTACCTAAATATTATGTGTGACCTAAATATTTCCAGACTATCATGGAATTTTTAAGAACTCTCTTATTTTATAGATAAGGAAATCGAGAGCCAAAGAGGTTGAACGACTTGCCCCTTTACGATCTGAACAGTGTTGATGCTATTTTGAGTGTCAGAGGGAGACTATAAATATGGATGAATGAATGGAAAACTAGGTGAATTAATAAGTCAGAGCAGGTGGAATGACTTGTCCTGATCTACAGATGCTCAATTTTCAATACTGTCCATTTTCCGACTACCTCGGCATTGTTTAGTGTACAGTTAGGTGCTCTCTCTTTCCATTCTAGCTTTTCCATTGTCAGAACTTAAATCATATAAGCATTCAGCAGAGGCATAAACCCAACCCTCAAAGAGTTCAATGTTTTCCAGAGCTTTAAATGTTTGAATATTGTAAACACATGCTTTATTTGACAAAAGTGACCCATACTCATAAATTAAAATGCAAGTCTATGTGAAATTCCACTGAGTATCATTATTCTAAAAATGTTCCCAGCGTCTGAATCGCCTCTCTGTTCTCTGCAATAGCTCACATATGTGCACACCACCAACAGGCAGAGGTGGAACAGAGAAGTGATTCACACAGAGATGCACTAGGAATTTGTGGATTCCATCAGCAGACGTGGGCTGGACAAGGAACTCCATTTTGAACCTTGTCTGACAAGGAGGGCTGACCTGGGATACAGACGTAATGACAGTGATATGAAGGGTCCGTGATTCCAAATTGGAGTTGAAGAAACCCACCGTTTATAATGTGACTGCAAAATTGCTACAGGCAGGGCAATCAGCTCAAAAATGGGACTAATTAAAGCCAGAGCCATATCAAGTTTAAATGCCAGGCAGTTTGACCTCTAGATGTCAGAAAAGATCACGTGACTAGGTGACCTTTCAAGGTTACTCCTCAATTCAGTTCTATGCATGATCTCTGCAAACAGAGCCATAACCGCGTTTACCTTACCATTTTCAGTTATAACTTTTGTTTTTCCCCACTCTTTTCCTAGCTCTGCATTTCTCTTCCCAGGAGTGCATACATACTTTCCCTTCAGCCTTAAGGACTTTCATTTTATTTATCCTCTTAACATTCAACACCCATGTCACCATCAACACATTTTTTATTTTTAATCATGCAGGGATTTTCCCCCAGTGGAAAATTATATTGAATATCAGCACAAGAGAGCCTTCTCTCTGACATTAAAGGCACTGTCAACATTTCTATTTTCAAGGTTTCTAACTTAACTAAATAAGGCTCTCCCTCTCCAATGAAATTCTTGGCATAAGGAAATAATTTGCTCATCTTTGATGAGTTGATTTTGAGAAAATGAAGAAACCATCAACAACAAATCCCCACTAAATCCCACAGCAAATTTTAAGTTATCACGGACTTTAAAATACTGTTGCTTTGTAGTGAATACTGAAATTCCAGGGGTAGGGGAGTGGGAGGAAGGCTGAAGAGGGAGGGGTATATGTATACATATAGGTGATTCACTTTGTTTCACAGCAGAAGCTAACACAACATTGTAAACCAATTATACTGTAATAAAAGAAAGTTCTAGGAGAGAAACTGATTTGAGAGAACTGAAATTATTTTAAATGCTTTGACATTTAAAGCTGGGAAAATACACTACAGGA